GCGATCTTGCTTCTTAGAACTCTTTCAAAGATTTTTATGATATGGGATGTTAGTGCTGTCAGTCTGTAGTTCTTTGCAATTGCTTTACTGCCACCTTTGTGGAGTGGGGCTATGTCTGTTGTTTTTAGTGACTGTGGGATGACTCCTGTGTCCATGCTCCCTCTCCATAGAATGCTGAAGGCATGTGACGGGCTTCTTGCAGATGTTGATGAACACAGAGTTCCGTGAGTCTGGGCCTGGGGCAGAGTGCATGGGCATGTTATAAATTGCCTTTTCGAAGTCTTGTGGTGGTAGGATAATACAGGTCTCCGTCAACATTCATGAGGGTTAGGGGATCAAGAACCTCGCTAATGTTGAAAAATCGTGAAAGTTTGGTGCCCCAGTATATTGTAGGGAAATATAATAATAGCATTTACTTAACCTAACAATACTGCTTCCTTAACCTATTGAACCACGAACAATCATAAAACGCATGAAAACATCATAAAATATTGTACTAGTGCCAGCCCTTTGGCAAAGAAGGTGAGAAAGACTATAGAATTCAAGAAAGAGCTCGTAGCAGAGTACCAAAGTGGAGGAGGAAGAGAGAGGGGAGAATGTGCCTTCTTCAGTGATTCTGCGATATGTACAATACTAAGGCAGCAGGAGTTGATAAAGATTATAGCGCCATCTAGCGATAAAGTGTAGTGTTAACGGTGTAGCAAGTAAGTTAAGCAATTAATCTGTAGAAAAAGGACAGTGTGAACCTAACTCCTCCAGTGTTGTTGGAGATATATAGGGCAACTGAGAACACCGCCGTCTTTGCTGCCTTCACCACCAATGTGTACGGCTTATACTCTCAGTGGCCCTTATACTCCCAACAACAGCAACACTCGTGGCATACTTAACCCTTTGAGGGTCGACAGGCCCTCTCCGAAACTCGTTCTCAGGGTCGGCCAAATTTCAAAAAAAAAAAAAATTATTTTTTCTTATGAAAAAATAGAGTATTTTTTTCTAAACATTATAGGCTAAACAAAAAAATTTTAGCGTCAATACTTACCGAGATATGGAGGTGTGAAATTTGCCAAAATTGAACAACATATGGTAACATCGCCGACTGCCGTCACCCGGTATTTTTCTATTTACTTTTTTATGTACTATTTTCAATTTTTTTTCAATTTTTCTTTTTCTGAGTAACTTTTAGGGCCTCTGAGGCCAACATGATCAGTATTTTGTTAAGTTATTTCTTTTTCAATACTACACAATAAGGGCGAAAACACGGGTTGCCCATTATTTTGTTTACAGAAAATATTTACACAAACAAACAATATGAAATGTGTTTATTACTATTTTTCTATATTTTATATACACATATACAGTCACAGGAAAATATTTCTAGAAGTTCTGCAGCCTGTGGAAGTCTTTGAAACATGGTGTCATGCACAGTGGATTTTTTGCACTCCTCCACATAAAACGAGTGTCTCTGCGTTGTCTGGGCGTTTTTTTTGTATGTGAACAGACGAAACACCTCTTCTGAGCCTTTTTCTTCAAAGCAGTAGAGGCAGTTTAACCAGGAAGTGATCACCATGCTTCAGACGAGCAGGTAGTTTTTTTGTTTAATTTTTGGTGGGGGGTTTCAATTGCAGGTGCATTTCCTTGGTACTTGAATACTATTTGTCTGAGGGACAGAAAAACAGAATTCGCCGTACTGTGGTTTGTTTCTGGTGCTCATCTTATAATATTATAAGCATTGAGCATGGAAATGTCCAGAAGATGGAAAAACAGTTTGATGTACCACTTATAACTCTTGCGAACAAAAATCAGCAAACCCAATCTGCATGTCACATTTGTCCACTAAACCCGCATGTTGAAGGTGTAATCAATCACAGCTGCAGGTTTTAGAATGGGTTCATTTCTCTCTCTATGCTGCCTGCCACTGTCTGCCATTTCATTAGGGTGAATTGATGACAACAGTGTGACACTCGTTTGTCATGCCACCGAAATGCCATGATGTCATTGGCAGCAAACGCCTGCACCTCACCTCTGCGAGTGCCAGCATCAACCGGGGCATATGTTTTCGTTTTGCACCACTGTGCCACACACATCTGTCATGTTCACTCGCAAAAAATCACTGAGTGGGGGGCTTGTGTACCAGTTATCTGTATATAATATATGCCCCTTACCAAGGTATGGTTCAAATCATTGTTTCAAACCCAAAATCACCTGAGATGCCCAATAACTTCCTGGTATTTTGCAATGTATACTTCCAGGGGTAACAATAATATCCAATACCAGACCACTGTAACAATCACAAAGCACAAACAACTTTATACCAAAGCGTTTCCTCTTGCTTGGTATGTCTGCTTGAAAGAGAGTCTTCCTTTGAACAGAATCAAAGACTCGTCAATTTACAAGCTTCCTGAAGGATAAAAATGAGTACTGAATTTCTGTTTCGATACACAAACACATTCCTAATCTTATATAACCTGTCAGTTCTGTCAGGCCTGGTTTTATCTGAGAAGTGAAGCATACGTAACATTACACAAATCGATTCACTGGCTTTAAATATCACTAAAAACCTGGTGTTGCAATCGGGGGGTCTGTTGACCAGTATGATTTTCACTTTGTGCTTATACACATGTGGCATAAGCATTATTGTGGCAAAGAAAAGAAAACATCTCAGCCACAGTTGCCTCCTTCCTTTGTGTAGACGTGATTTTGGTGAAAGTATTGTGTTTGCCATGGTGTACTCGTAGTTGGTTTGCTTTCCATGACAATACTTTTCATCAGTGGTTCGTCAAAGAACAACTCGAAACATTCCATTTTCAGTGGCATTTTTCCCCAAAGTGCACAAGAGGGCCCGTATTTTTTCCACTTTGGCTGCCATCAAACGGGTGGGGATTTGGAACAAAATTGACAGCTTCCTGCCAATCCCAGGTGCGGTCTGCTGGTGGGTACTGGACAATGACAGGTGGTTGTGGTTGTGGAGGTTGTGGTTGTGGAGGTTGTGGTTGTGGAGGTTGTGGTTGTGGAGGCTGGTGTGGGGGGGGAGTGGGGGATGGTGGCCTTTGTTCAGATCAGCTGAGGCAGCGGCGTGGCTGGCGCGGGGGGCAGCAGGGCCCCCACTGCTGGTGCCTCACCGCCGGCACTACTACCACCACGCACATTTTCCATCCCAATTGCAACAGTATCTTCGTCATTTTCACTGTCTGTTCCTGTTGTCAGCCACGGGATGTACTCCGAGATACACCCTTCCCCTTGGTATAACATATGGCACACTTCCAGAGCGCATATATCGTCGTATATACTGACGCTTCACTGGGGAATATTGCACTTCACTACACAAATGGAACTAGTTTGAAGAGCTTGTAGTTCATATTCACTATCACTATCATCACCCATGCTCTCATCTGAGTCTGGGATTTGGGAAAATAGAAGTTTCCTCTTGGGTCTGGAACAAATGACGTGAACACGAGGGCCCAGCACCAGAGGTGGAAGGCTGAGGGTCGTCTGGGTTTTCTTCACTATTTCCGAAAATTAGGTCATTAGTTTCGGTCAAAACCTCACTAAAACCACGAAACTCATCTTCACTGGCACTTCCATCACTATTAGAACTGTCACTGGGGAACAAAAGTGTCCCAATTCGCCGAGGAGTGAGGAGCTTCTTACCGCGAGGCATGGTGGACATTGTTTACTAAGAGGGCATTCCCACAATGCACCACTGGGTCCCAGATTTTTTTTCTACCGCGCACACTGACCACGCAGACCCATTCTCTCACACCTAGGCCTATCAGCCTTTTCGCGCGAGATTTGAGGCCGCTAGAATTTATGCGTACTAGTACGTCAAAAACCCCTACGCGTAAGACGTACTAGTATGACGAAAACCCTCAAAGGGTTAATGACGTATTGTATTCATTCTAGAGTATATGTCATGTTTCTATGTTTTTAATATTGTTTATTATGTCATAATAGATGAATTGTGATAGATAAATAAGCCATAGAGTTGATATTTGTCATCTTAAAGGACTATCTTGTCCTATCTCCAAACAAACTCTGCCACTACCACAATTCCTAAGGTATGTAGTGACATACACTTACCATCCAACTTACGACCTGCTCGACTTACGACCGTGTTTTTTATGCCAAATTTCTGGGAAATAAACAACTATTTGTGTTGTACACAGTGTTTATCCTAAACCTTACAGTATAAAATACAGTACTAACAACATAAAAAGAAAAGTAAAACATGAAGTACCAAAATAAAACAATAAAATAAAGTAATTACAAAAATGTTTTGTTGATATTCAGTAGTAAAGTTCGACTTACGACCATTTCGACTTATGACCGTTTTCTTGGAACCGAACTCGGTCGTAAGTCGGATGGTAGGTGTATTTTAAATGTAATTGGGCGGCTGGGAATTCGTCAATGTTCGAAGCCCGCAATAGTGGAAAACACGAATGTTTAGGGAGACCTGCATCAGATTTTTGAAGTGATCAAATTTTGGGGCTGTCATAAAAAAATCATTTAGATTTTTGACCCTCAGTTTGGTTAACAGCTTGCTGAACACTGAGTTGTATTGGGACTTTAGTATCTCATATATTTCTCTGCTGTCAACTGTGAAGGTCCCATCTTGTCTAAGCATGGGTTCAGTACTGGATGTTGTTTTTTCCTTAGATTTGGGGAAAACAACATCCAGTATTGGACCCCTGCTTAGACAAGATGGGACCTACACAGATGACAACAAAGAAATGAGTGAGATACTAAAGCACCTGTGTAATGTGCAGTACAATATAGCATCAGTTAATTTTTATTAGGGATTTTATGTACAGTGCTTTGAAAAATATTTGAAATTAAAATGTTTAATATGGAAAAAGCTAATAATGTCTTGTTCTGATACTTTGGTGCATATACTTTAGTGTGGTAATTTTGTATCTAGTGTTTCAGTGCATTACATATTTGAGATTGATGTTAAGAGGTTGTGGTGATGAGCTGTTTTAATTTTTTTTTTTTTTTTATCTTAGCACTGCACACACCCTGACAAATACCCGTCATTGAACAATGATGGAGGAGGAAGAGTAATAGGAGTTGGAGGAGGAAATGGTAGTGATGTTGGAGGAAGTGGTGGCCTAAGTAGCAGCAACAGCAAGAAGGAAAAGCGTACAAACACTAAACAACCCTCTACCATTAGCTTTTCAATAAAATCTCGGGAGCAAGAAGTTAACCTTGACCGGCACTCAACCTTCCCTGTGGAGTCTTCATCAACAGATGATGAGGATATGGAAGAAGAAGAAAGAGAGAAAAGAAGAATAGAGAGAGAAGAACGAAGAAGGAAAAGAAAATTAAAAGAGAAAGAAGAGAGGGAGAGACGTGAACGGGAGGAAAGAGAGAGAAAAGAGAAAGAAGAGCGTGAGAAAATGGAGAAGATTGAAGAGTCGACTGATGCTTCTGGTGACAATGAAGATGTTTATGACATTTTCAAATATGGTAAGTTGACACACTTACTTATTCTCTGTTAATGTAATTTAAATTTTGTTTATAACTTTTTTGATACATAGTTTTATTGCATTTTTATATGTAATTTGAATGAATTTTGTGGCCATTTTAAAAAATTGCTCTAATGAATATCTGCAACTTTTTCCTTTTTTTTTTTTTTTAAATTTCTAATTTAATAATCTTGAGCCAATGGAGAAAGGTATCTTTTCGTGAACAGCAATTTCGAGATTTTTAATTTTTCTTTTCTCCGTCCCACAACAGTAGCCTCTACTACGTAATTATAAAGAGTATTGGGGAGTTTTAAAAATTTAAGAGGGTTATGTCATTTTTTGTTTTGAATATACAGTTCTTATTGCTTACTATATTGCTACCAGTAGGGAAAACTGGAATAATGATTGGGTCTAATTTACTACTTAAACAGAAATGTACATCTTTCTCCAAACACTTTCTTGGCTTCTCGGTTGTGAACATTCTAGTATGCAACATACAGCATCATTCCTCAAAATGTTTGCTGATTAGAGTGCATTTATTTTCTGATGATCTAAGTGAAGTAGTTTTTTTAACTCTATACAAGAGAACCTACTAATGTTCCACAACGTGATATTGGTAATTGTTTCTAGACATGGAAAGAAATTCAGTGCACTAGTGTTTAAATTTGTAACTTGTAATAAGAGAAGTATAATGCAATAATTAAACATCATATAATGGGTCAAAACATTTCAGTGTTGAATAATTACCATATTCGAAGTCATCCCTCAAGGCTGTTAAAAAAAGTCAAATGAAATGGATATACAGTACAGATAGTTAAATGCTCTCATTTATCTTATGAGCACAAGAGCTGAAGTTGAAACCTGTGCCTCAGAAAGCTTCAATTCCTGCAAAAAAAAAAAAAAAAAAATAGAAAGTTTTTAATGTTTCATAATAGTACTAAGACTAAAAAAATCTGTTAATTGCATTTATTCCCTAAGGTATAGAACTTCCTGTTTTGTGGTTTCTATCCTTTCTTACTGTTTTGGTGATATTCTTGGCACCAGCCAGTGTCATTATCAACTGTCATTTTTCTCATGACTTACCAAGTATACATCCCAATATCAAATTCAATATTTTGTTTACTGACAGGCTTACATAGTTAGGCATAGCTTCCATTGTAACTTCTGCATTATATTTTGTTTTACAATATTTCCTAGTGTTTTTGAACCAGATGTCTTCTCAGACTTTTCATAACTTGCTGGTGTTGACTTTTTTTTTTTTTTTTTTTTTTCCTCTCAACAAGTCGGCCGTCTCCCACCGAGGCAGGGTGACCCAAAAAAGAAAGAAAATCCCCAAAAAGAAAATACTTTCATCATCATTCAACACTTTCACCACACTCACACATTATCACTGTTTTTGCAGAGGTGCTCAGAATGCAACAGTTTAGAAGCATATACGTATAAAGATACACAACATATCCCTCCAAACTGCCAATATCCCAAACCCCTCCTTTAAAGTGCAGGCATTGTACTTCCCATTCCCAGGACTCAAGTCCGACTATATGAAAATAACCGGTTTCCCTGAATCCCTTCACTAAATATTACCCTGCTCACACCAACAGATCGTCAGATCCCAAGTATCATTCATCTCCATTCACTCCTATCTAACACGCTTATGCACGCTTGCTGGAAGTCCAAGCCCCTCGCCCACAAAACCTCCTTTACCCCCTCTTTCCAACCCTTTCGAGGACGACCCCTACCCCTCTTTCCTTCCCCTATAGATTTATATGCTTTCCATGTCATTCTACTTTGATCCATTCTCTCTAAATGACCAAACCACCTCAACAACCCCTCTTCTGCCCTCTGACTAATGCTTTTATTAACTCCACACCTTCTCCTAATTTCCACACTCCGAATTTTCTGCATAATATTTACACCACACATTGCCCTTAGACAGGACATCTCCACTGCCTCCAACCGTCTCCTCGCTGCTGCATTTACCACCCAAGCTTCACATCCATATAAGAGTGTTGGTACTATTATACTTTCATACATTCCCTTCTTTGCCTCCATAGATAACGTTTTTTTGACTCCACATATACCTCAACGCACCACTCACCTTTTTTCCCTCATCAGTTCTATGATTAACCTCATCCTTCATAAATCCATCCGCCGACACGTCAACTCCCAAGTATCTGAAAACATTCACTTCTTCCATACTCCTCCCCAATTTGATATCCAATTTTTCTTTATCTAAATCATTTGATACCCTCATCACCTTACTCTTTTCTATGTTCACTTTCAACTTTCTACCTTTACACACATTCTCAAACTCATCCACTAACCTTTGCAATTTTTCTTTAGAATCTCCCATAAGCACAGTATCATCAGCAAAAAGTAACTGTGTCAATTCCCATTTTGAATTTGATTCCCCATAATTTAACCCCACCCCTCTCCCGAACACCCTAGCATTTACTTCTTTTACAACCTCATCTATAAATATATTAACCCTTTGACTGTCGTGGTCGTATATATACGTCATAGGAGATATAGGAGATACCGTGTTTGACATATCTATACACGCATACATTCTAGGGGCTTCAAATCAAGCAGGAGAAAGCTGGTAGGCCCACATGTGAGAGAATGGGTCTCCATGGTCAGTGTGCACCATATAAAAAAAATCGGGGAGCCAGTGGTGCATTGTGGGAATACCATTTCAGTCTTCCTTTTTCAGCATGTCTAGCGGTAAGAAATATGTGACTCCCCAGCAAATCTGGGACTCTTCTCTTCCCAAGTGATGCTCTAACACAGATGGAAGTGTCATTGAAAATCAATTTCATGATTTCGAGGAGTTTGAGACCAAAAGCAATGGAGGAGGAGGAGGAAGAAGAAGAGGAGGAGGAGAGGAGGAAGAGGAAAGGAGGAAGGAGAGAGGAGGAGGAGGAGGAAGAAGAGGAGTAGGAGGAAGGAGAGGAGGAGGAGGAAGAAGAGGAGGAGGAGGAAGAGGAGGAGGAGGAAGAGGAAAGGAGGAGGAGGAAGAGGAGGAGGGAAAAGGAGGAGGAGAAGAGGAGGAGGAAGAAGAGGAGGAGGAGGAAGAAGAGGAGGAGGAAGAAGAGGAGGAGGAAGAAGAGGAGGAGGAAGAAGAGGGGGAGGAGAAGAAGAGGAGGAGGAAGAAGAGAGGAGGAGGGAGGAAGAGGAGGAGGAGAAGAGGAGGAGGAAGAAGGAGGAGGAAGAAGAGGAGGAGAAGAAGGAGGAGGAGAGGAAGAAGAGGAGGAGGAAGAAGAGGAGGAGGAAGAAGAGGAGGAGGAAGAAGAGGAGGAGGAAGAAGAGGAGGAGGAAGAAGGAGGAGGAAGAAGAGGAGGAAGAAGAGAGGAGGAAGAAGAGGAGGAAGAAGAGGAGAGAGAGGAGGAGGAGAAGAAGAGGGGGAGGAGGAAGAAGAAAGAGGAGGAGAAGAGGAGGAGAGGAAGGAAGGAGGAAGAAGGAAGAGGGAGGAGGGAGGAGGGGGAGGAGGAAGGAGGGAGGAGGAGGGAGGAGGAGGAGGAGGGAGGAGGAGGAGGAGGAGAAGGAGGGAGGAGGAGGAGGAAGGAGGAGGGAGGAGGAGGAGGAGGGAGGAGGAGGAGGAAGTCAAGGAGGGAGGAGGAGGGAGAGGGGGAAGGAGTGAGAGGGAAGAAGAAGAAGAAGAAGAGAGATGAGGAGGAAGAATAGGAAGAAGAGGAATAATAATAATAATACCTAATAATAATAATATGTAATAATATGTTCCCTTGAGGCATGAAAACAGTTCACCCCATGACAGTGACAAGATAACATCTGATAAGATCTGACCTTTGATGAGCGTAAACCAGGGTGGAGGGAGGGGGGCAGCTGTCCATCTGTCAAGAGCCAGGAGGAGGAGGAGGAGAAGAAGAGGGAGGAGGAGAAGAAGAGGGAGGAGGAGGAGAAGGAGAAGAAGGAGAAGGAGGAGGAGGAGAAGAAGGAGGAGGAGAAGAAGGAGGAGGAGGAGGAGGAGGAGGAGGAGAAGAAGGAGGAGGAGGAGGAGGGGAGGAGAAGGAGAAGGATGAGGAGGAGGAGGAGGAGGAGGAGGAAGGGGAGAAGGAAGAGGAGGAGGAAGGGGAGAAGGAAGAGGAGGAGGATGAGGAGAAGGATGAGGAGGAGGAGGAGGAAGGGGAGAAGGAAGAGGAGGAGGAGGAGCAGGAGGAGGAGGAGGAGGAGGAGGAGCAGGAGGAGAAGACGACGACGAACAAACATTTGTCTGTCTGTCTATTTGTCTGTCTGCCAAGCTCCCTGTCTATCCGTCTAGCTCTGTCTCAGAGAGAGCCACAAGACTGTCATCATCACGTTTACTCACATCTTCAAGCAGAGTATAGCACTTTGTCTGGATTTTTTGGGTTATCCTAGGTAATTTACACTATGTATACTTGTATTTATGTGTACCTGTGAGACAGAGATAGATAGACAGAGAGACAGATTGAAAGAGATAGAATGAGGGAGAAAGATAATTAGATAGAATGAGGGAGAAAGATAATTAGATAGAATGGAGGGGAAGCAGCATCCGACCCCATTGTTTTGACAGGCGGGAGGGGGAGTGAGTAATGAGACAATATGTCATTTTGACAGCTGCCGACTCCTGACTCAAAACGATTATAAGCCACACACTCGCACCCAAGACAAGCTTGCTGAATGGTGATAATAGCAGTTTTATGAAAGTATCTAGTGACTATGTATGTGTATATATATTATAGAAACCAGAAGCAAGAAGGGAAGGCAGGAATGAAGGAAGGATGAGATGAAAGGAAGGAAAAAAGTAAGGAAGGACAGATGAAGGAATGTAGGAAGAGAGGTGGAATGCCCTCCAGGTAGCCTCCAGGTAGGAAAGGAATGAAGGAAATTAGGAAGGAAGGAATGGTGACACACGACCATTTACCTAGGATAACTACATAACACAACTGCCTGCTAATACTGTGAAGAAAACTGCTCAGACGAGGTGTTTTGTCTTTGTACATAAAAAAAACTTCCACAAAA